CTAGCGGAAAATTTTCTCCGCTAAATCTAGCGGAAAAATCTACCCGTAAAAATTCCCCGCTAAATCTAGCGGAAAATATTCCCCGCTAAATCTAGCGAAAAAATTCCCCCGCTAAATCTAGCGGAAAAATTTCCCCGCTAAACCTACCGGAAAAATTTCTCCGCTAACTTTAGCGGAAAAATTTCTCCGCTAAATTTAGCGGAAAATTTTCTCCGCTAAATCTAGCGGGAAAAATGCCCCGCTAAATCTAGCCAAAAAATTAACCCGTTAAATCTAGCGGAAAAATTTCCCCGCTAAATCTAGCGTAAAAAATTCCGCGTTAAATCTAGCGGAAGAATTTCCCCGCTAGATTTAGCGGAAAAATTTCCCCGCTAAATCTAGCGGAAAAATTTCCTCGCTAAATCTAGCGGAAAAACTTCCCCGCTATATTGAGCGGAAAAATTTTGCTGGGGGGTCACGTGACCCCCCAAGGTCACATGACCCCCCCCTTCCCCCCACCCCGAGAACAGGTGATCCTCAGTACCCTTCCCTCCTCCTCCTCAAGAGCTGCGCTCCAATTCAGTGTTACAGGGAGTTGTAAACGGCTTTCATTTTTTTTGGTTTTGAGGACCTCGATTTTTAACAGATGCTAAAGAGTTATACATGTAATTATTCTCTGCTTCCGGGCTACAAAAATCTGGGTCCTTGTCTTCGAAACAATTACTTCTCGTGTCTTAAAAAAAAAAAAGAGAACGGTGGGAGAATGCTGTGAAGGTAGAGCTGGTCTCAGTTCGTTGGAAGAAGCGACATCCAGGATTTCGCCGTTGTTTCATGCGCCCAGCAACCTACTGCCAAAGATAATATAGTTACTAACAGTTTGAAACACGCTGGTTGTGCTTATTAGGTTCATTTTTGTGACTTCTTGATTCGTTCTTCAGTGTTATTGTGGGCTGTAACTATAACTTTCCGTGTGCTCGATTGAATCCGAAAAAAAATCCAAAATATTTTTAGAACGCTGCTCTTCGGCGCCCGTTTCGGGCTTGAGCGCCGTCGCCGTCGCCCTCGGCGTAATCGTGTGCGTTGCATTATGGGAAAACGTTTCCCCGCTAAATTTACCGGAAGAGAGAAAAAATTTAGTGGAGAATTTTTTCCGCTAAATTTAGCGAAAGAATGTGCCCGCTATATTCAGCGAAAAATATTTTTAGCGGAGAAACTTTTATGATTAGCGAAAAATTTTCTCCGAACATTTTCCGCTAAATGGGAGGGGAGCAGAAGAGAAGGAGAGAAGGGGGAGGGGGCATACCCTCCCCTCCTTTTTTTCAGGAGCTGCGCTCTAATTCAGCATTTTCGAGAATTGTAAACGGCTTTAATTTTTGTTTCTCGGATAAAGTTTATAAGAAGTTTGCGGGAAGAGCTACGAATAACATTATTGCTTAAATATTGTGCACCATGGTGCGTGCAAAGACTAGGCAATTTACGAAAATAATTTTTGATAGGTTACGCGTCAAACCGATGATGACGCCATTGCAGTGGTGTAATATCATCGCTACATTTTTGCAAATGTTCGGAACGCCTTCAACAAATGATAAAAATAACAGCATTATCTAGCTGTCCCATAATTTTTTTCTACGTCTGTTTCTCTTCCAGCAGCGTACGATGGGCAGTTTTTAACGATGTACGCTTTTATAGAAAACATAGGACGCCTATCGGTACTTGTTTGTTATTAGAGACGTGAAATCAGATACTTCAGCCGCAGTCACCTGAACGTTTTAGTCTTTCGCTGGAGATTGTAATGTCAAAGCCCATGCCATTAGAACGACACTGCAACGTAAAAAAGGTGCTACTGAAATATGAAACGCAAAACAATGTAGAGTGTTAACTGAGTCAGATCTGGGGGAGAACCACTCCGCGATCGGAGAAAAAAATTCCTTTCAACGTTGAATAGCTTTATTACTAAAGATAACTTTGATCTAGTCTTAAAAAAAAAATGGAATGACACGGTCGAAAAAAAAAATGACCCAATTGGTCGGCTACGAAACACTTGCGCGACGTGCTCCGCCAAAGGCAAAAGGCAACTGTGATGAAAAAGAAAAACAATCGACATAAACAAAACAAAGCAAAAAACCAACAAACATAGAAGCTGCAGTGAAGATTCTGTGATGCTACGAGAGGAACAGACCATTTTTATAAGTGCGCACCATTGTGAGCACGTACTATAAACACCTATTGGACACGATTTTTTTTTGCATCGTACGGTGTGAATTTGTCTCAGCTCGTATCAAAGACGAGTTCTGCGTCAGCGTTCGACGAGCACTCGTAAAAACAAAATTCGGCAGAAACACTCGAGAGAGACCGCTTACGTGTAGGATTGCGAAAGCATTCCTACAAACAGCGCGCGACATCCTCCTCTTTCACCCGGCGCGCCGGCGGTGACCTCACGCTCCACCACTGCGCAGGCGCGGCGCACCCGCCGCCTCCACGGCTTCCGTGGCGATGCATCTGCGCCGCTGTGCTTTTCTTTGCGTTTTATTTCTGAGGCACGTCCACTTTGACCTTGAGCGGCCCCGCTGGCTTCCGTGACGAAGCATCTGATACAACGCGTGGCAGCCAATGGGAGCTTATATAGGTGCTGTTTTCGCTGGATGTACAATGTCGGCTTCGCTCCGCGTGACCCCCCCCCCCCCCCCCCCCAGTTAATGCTTTCGCATTAAAAACTCCATTGGCCAATGCTAAAAGTTTTGAAGACAACAGCAAGAAAAAAAATTAACGGTACAAAAGAATGACGCGGTGACGCTAGACAAGGCGTCACGTGCCTGGCAGGCTGAGACTGGAGTCAAGGGCCGCTGCGTTCCCTATAAAACGCGATTCTGCAGATAATCGTGTGATCGATTGATGAAAATACAATTGCACATTCTTTACAACGTTACTGGATTGGCTATGTTAAGAAGCTCGGAGAAAAAAGGAGCGCGCTGCCATTCACTGCCGCGTAGCGGCGCTCGTGTCGCAGCCCGCCCGATCAACTCGGTCTGGCTGGCTTCGGTACCTTTGGATGCGCCGTGAAACACGTCGTTTTTGTGTGGATGCACAAAGTGTATTACCAACGACCGCTGCCAGTGTGATAACGTCCGGACTGAGACTACATTTCCTGGGACTTTTTGAGGCGAATTCACGCCAGCCGGGCCTTCTTGGTTTCGGGAGTCTTTGGCATTCGGCACAAAGGCAAGTAAACCCAGAGATATGGCCGCGTCTATAGTAGTTTCCGGTGCGTGGATCATTGTGTTCCGGTTGTTTGCGGACTGAATCACCGTCAACTTCCCTTTTCTGGTGTTCTGTGTTTGTGTCAGAAGTTCAAGCATAAAGTTCTGCGTACATTCCACAGCCGAATCAAAAAAGACTGCCAATTTGCAGGCATCTTCGTAATTTGAAGGAAGTGGGCTGTTTTTGTATTCGTATTCGGCTACGTCGAGACATGTTGCTATCACATCTGAAGTGACAAAAACGGCGGAGTTATTCCTTTCGTTTGTTCTTTATGTGTGTGACAACCTCAGTCCCTTGTATGTGCGTGCCGTTTCGGAGACGTGTGACTAAAGGGTAACAATTTCAAGGTACCACTTCTGACCAGCTGATGAGCGCGGATTCGTGTGCGTATACTTTGGAGATATATGTGTGAACGTGCGGTAGATATTTCCTAGTTGCACATATAGTCCTAGGTATGTCTTTAGGATATGCTAAAGTTCCAGGAATGTCCTGTGAACGTTTATATCCCACGTGCACTGCTTGGGTTAGAGCCGTTATTTTTGCAGTATCTGCTACAGCTTCGTGGCAACAGTGTGCGAACTGTGTGACACTCTCGTTGTGTATGTGAATTAGTTCATTTGTGTAAGCATGTACATGCTCCAGTGCCTGAGGCAGCAACATGCTTGTTGCCATGTTTATATGAGCGCGTCCGTTTAAATTTTCTCTATGTTAACTACTCCTTTCGTGACGTTGCAATTTCGCTTAAAATGAGTTTATAGTGATGTCGCTTTATAGATCTCATGTGCTCCTATGATCTATTTCAATCCAAAATAGACATCTTTAGCTACGTCAATGCAACCCCCTGAGAACGCGACATAGCGAGGCTGGGGTGCAAAGACCACTGTAAGAACTTCACCGCCCAACTAGTCAGCTTCTTTTGTAACGCAAAAACACTTCAATGCGAGAGACACCAATCGAAATTTAGTGATTGCGGAGACGGGGGCAGTAGCAAACAAGAAAGCCCGGCTCCTGTGATCGCCTACTCCATGTATTTTCAGCCTTGATATTTCTCATTCTGCTCGTGATTTTTTCCAGGAAAAGTAAATTAACGTTACGTAATATTCATCTACAATTTTATCCTTTCCAAAGATTTGGTGTTGCAACAAATAAAAGGTAGAAAACGTATTTTCTTAGTTTTCCTGTGACAAAATGGGGGAAGGGGAGGGGGGGGGGGGGGCGTTTTTTGAGAGCTGGATACGGCGCTGAGAGCGCATGCTAGCCCTTGATTGTAAATGCAGGTCATAGACGAATGTGAGAGCCATCAAATATGATATAAATCCCATTTTAATTTAATATTACACGAGCAGATAATCGCACTCGGAGGCTCGACACAAAGCTAGGCACCTACGTTCCTACCCGTTGTATTATGCCGTCTAAAATTCGAGGAAAAAAATCGTAAGCGTGCATATTTACAATTATGTGGCTGCAGCAGAATCTACTTGCAGAGTATTTCTTAAAAAGAAGTGCGCGAGGGCCGCCGACGTGCCGCCGACCTTTCTAATTTCGCAATGAAATGCCAGTGTCCCGAGCTTTCCCAGAGCTTGGCCGACCTCGGGGACCGGGCGGGCTGCGACGACTGCGACCCCACGCCCGCGTGAACGGAGAAGGCAGGTTTTCCGAAGCGCGGCGAATGCGGAGTGACCTTGTCCACTGAGCCGATCTGGTAGCGTGCAATTCTTTATGCATCTTTTCTTTCTTTTTTTTTTTGTGGCTATCTTCCGCAGGTGTTCGACGTAACGCGGAAAGTGACGTACAAAAACCTTGGCAACTGGTACAAAGAGCTCCGGGACTACAGGCCGCACATCCCCTGCTTCTGTGTAGCGAACAAGATCGACGGTAAGAACATGAATCGTTTGTAATTATGTTGTGTGCATGTACTCGACAGCGTAAAGTTGTAATAGTTGGCTCCGACTGTTATCCTGGGACATTCACCGCGTATTACCCAGGGGGTCTAAACTCGTGAAACACAAAGTGGGAGCCGAAAGTTCGCGGGGAGCGCCGATTGGACGTCGGCGACAAAAGTGCGAATTCATCGTCGTGATAAGCTTATCGGTTCCTCCGTCAACTTCGGCCCAATCTTTGTGTTTGACGAGTTTAGTGGTTCAGTGGTGATTAGGCGACGGCACGTCAAATGGAAGCTCGTTCAGACAGAAACGGGCCGGTGTGGGCATGGTGCCCAGGATCTCTAAGCTTCGTAACGACAGCTTTGGCTCCACTTAACACACTCCTCGCTTCGCTTAACACATTCGTCGAGGCCATTCCCACCCTGAATCGGTTGGATTGTTTTAATGCGCCCCCCTCCCCCCCCCCCCCCCCTTTTTACGAGGTATCATGTCTTTCTCTCACTTGTCGGCGTCCTGATAGAGGAAGGGAATAACCATGGTGGCGTTATCGCTGCCATGGCAGCGATAACGCCACCAGGTTATTCCCTTCCTGGGAGAGAATATGGTGCACTATATTCTCTCCCACTGTTGTAGTGTTAACGAAATCTAGCTCAAACGAACACTCTTAGATCTATCTTTTGACAAGCTCCACGGAAGAAAGGCGTTCAAAAATGGTTCTTCTCTGTTTCCTGCACGTGAGTGAATAGGGGCGGATGGGCGTTTCTACCGCGATTAGCGGCAACCAGGGAAGATAATAAAAATCAAGACAATTTAAATTGTGATTTAGGTCATGATTGATATCGTGATTTAAATCGCACCCATTAGGCTCTAGTGATTTAAACACTCTTCCCAAAAATAATGCCGAAAATATTCTCCCTTTGGTGTTTGTTTTTCACTATTTGCTTCCCATGGGCTTTTATTTTGTACTCGAAGCATATGATGATCAAGCAGGAAAGGTTTATATAGAGCAGTAATTTAAACCAAACATCTAGTGATAAGAAGTCATTCTTTTCTAGCTGAATTCATCTAAATCATGTCAATTTGATTAAACCAAATATCTCATAACCGCCTCTGGTGTTGACGGATAAAAAGGTTGCGTTCCTGCAACCGGAGCTGTCGACGGCGCGGACGATGACACGCGTGCGCTGAGGACAAGCCGGGATGCGGTCTCTCCTCCCGACCCATCCTCCCCCGGCTGATGGGGGCTCTCGCATCTCCCCCGCTTCTCTTTTTTCTCGCGGGGTTTACTCAACACCTACTAGAAGAGAAGGCCGTAGCGCTCCGACTGGTTCAGTCACAATCTCGGAGAAGAAGCGCCATAGCGCAACGACGTGAGAAAATATCTGGTATCGACGCGAAAAAAATGTTTCTTGTCGAGCGGCGTGGTGGTGTTAGTGCGCGTTTATCCGACATTAATATACGTTTTAAAGACGCAGTTTTGTACAATTTATTATCTATATAATATAAACGTAATATACAACTCGTTACCCAGGTTGAATGTACGAAGTTTATATTTATGATTATGCTCGTAAGCACGGGACCCCGTGCAGTGTCGCAGCTCCCCAGACTTTACGAATGAATCGGCTAGGTGCGACATTTTCTTTCTTCAAACGGGCTCCAATTTTGGTAAATTTACTTTGTGTGTGAGCTGCTGACTGTCTGAAAAGGAACGCTGAGAAATTTCAGAAGGGAAAGCAACCGAAAAAAAAAAAAATCCATCATCGCCGCAGGGAGCGCCACACGAGCAAGAGATGGTTCGACAACGTTAAGCCTTTCGTCGCCGCTGCACTCGTATGTGGTTGTTTTGAGACTTGTTTCATTCTTCCCGTCATTTTTCGTTCGTCACCGCCGTCTCGGGTAGTTTTTTTGTGTTCGCTTGATTCTATGGCATATACGTGAATTCACGGAACAAGTCCTGCTACGGTTTGAGTGACATGTGTGGCAACTAGTCAACGATGACACTGGTCGATTATTCATAGACCTCTATCTCGAAAAAGAGAGATACTTGTTGAAGTTCTTGTTAAAATGTTTTCGTGACGAATGTTGCAGCACGTATGGATACGATGTACACGTGAGAAAAAACTTATTTACGGGCAGAGGCGTAGACTTTCCATTTTCCCGGGGGAGGGGCAGGCTGAGAAGTTCTCCGGGGGGGGGGGGGGGGGGGGGGGGGGGGGGGGGGGGGGGGGGGGGGGGGGTGCTTTTCCGCGCTAGCGGAATAGCACCCGCCCCCCCTTCCCTTCCTTCCCCCCCCCCCCCCCCGGAAGCACGCTGGGATTTCATTTTTCATGTATTTTGTCAATAAAGGCAACGTGGGCATTATTTTGTTTACATGCCACTACTAGAAACTCGTTACATGGCACGTAAACAGTCTCGATGAGGATCATGGCCACGGCCCGGGGGGGGGGGGGGGGGGGCTCAGCTTCTCCCCCCCCCCCCCCCCCCCCGCCGGATTTCACCAGGGGGGGCACGCTACCCGATGCCCGCCCGTAGTCTACGCCTATGTTTACGGGCTTTCTTGGTCATGTAGGACGTGAGTAGGGTGCCGCAGTAGTCTTTTTTTTTTCAATCTCATGATAGAATGGAATGTTTGTTTTTCGTCATTATCCGTGTACACTTCCGTCGTTATTTGTAACTATGTGTGGTCATCTAGTTTTCAATGGAATGTGAATGACAAGTTTTTGTGATAATTGAAAGTGCGTCGTCTGTGCTTACGTATTTACTTATACTAATGTTATTTTATTGCCTTTACCGCTTGTATACTAGAATCTTAACTGTATTAATGTGATTGTGTTATTGTATATAAAATAAGTTATATTTTGTTTTAAGGCAGCTCGTGCCAATAGGAAGAAGTAAATTAGTTGACCTAATAGTAAGTTTAGTACCCCCGCCATACGGTAAATTTAATATATTTTCATTAAATGATATGGGATTTAATCAGCTTGCGGTCTTGAGGGATTATACGAGCATCGCAAGCTGAATAGACCCTTCCCGGAATTCAGACTGGCAACTTTGATCACAATCATCATCTGAAAAATGGCAGATCTGCTATACTAATGGCGGCCTTCTGTTTACTGATGAAAGAAGAAGTTGAAGATGGACCTAAGAAGATGATTCGAGGCCTATACATTCTAGACGTTAGCGCGACGTGAAGCAGGAATTGGACGCAAGAGCTGCGTAAGCGTACATTTCTAACTCGGGCCCAGTCAATCTGTTAGTAGCACACACTCGGTTTCAAAGCCCCTTCATGTATAGTTTTATCAAGGCGTCTATGTGGGCTGGTGCTTCGCTTTGACTAGTTGCATCTTTTTCGCCATCGACAATGAAAGATATTTAAAAGGAACTGGACAGTGACGCGTGCATTCTCATTTACCGCTGACTCGCGAAAGTGACGGTGCCCCCCCCCCCCCCCCCCCCAATACAACACTGCGGACCACAGGTTCATTGCCGCCATTAGTACGGTAAAAGTTAAACTGTCATTTGAGTTACCAGATGGCACTCAATTCCGGAAAGGGTCTATTGTTTACTCCATGGTGTCATTCGATCGAAATTACATTAATTTTGACATGTGGCCGTGGTATACTGGAAGAACGCAGTGACTGCACACGGTAACATCACTTACATGGTCGTAAGTGACAGTTGTCTAGCCGTGTCCGCGTTGACTACGCGGACACGTAGTCAACGCGTAGTCAACGCGTTGACTAAGTGTGAAAAAAGAATCACATTTTTTTCTATAGACGTTTTATACGCACACCCCGTGCCATTTCGTACCGATTATTTAGCGGTGTAATATTTCCACGTGCGCACCTAACTAAGTAGGCAGCGCGCTCGTGGCCTAACGGCTATCACGCTTGCCTTCCACGCAGAAAGCCAGGGTTCGATTTCTGGCCGCGGGTACGCATTTTTGTTGACTCTAATGTTATGTTCCGGTAAATTCGAGAACCATGTTGCTGAGTCGAGGTTTGAATGTTCTACACGCCGAACCTTCTACGCCGATTGTTCTAGAAGCCCGCGCTTGGACAAAAGGGGCTCCGCGTGTCAAGCCGGAGTCAGCCTCGCCCCAGCGTTCGATCCTGCTGCTACGCCGCCATCGACGCCCGCGACGCTCTCGTGTTATACTATGTTTTAGAGCGCAGCTCTTAGGGGTCCGTTTCCGGCTTGAGCGGCGTCGGCGTCGCCGTCGGCGTCGCCGTTGGCGTCGCCGTCGCCGTCTCCGTTGGCGCCGCCGTCGCCGTCGGCGTAACCGCGAGGTCACGTGACCCCCCGAGGTCACGTGACCCCCCCAGGACGTGACCCACCCAGGTCACGTGACACCCCCAGGTCACGTGACCCCCTTAGGTCACGTGACCCCCAGAAGTCACGTGACCCCCTTGAGGTCATGTGACCCCTCTAGGTCACGTGACCCCCCCCCGAGGTCACGTGACCCACCCAGGTCACGTGACACCCCTAGGTCACGTGACCCCCGAGGTCACGTGACCCCCAGAAGTCACGTGACCCCTTGAGGTCACGTGACCCCCCGAGGTCACGTGACCCTCCCCCCTCCCCCGAGGTCACGTGACCCACCCAGGTTACGTGACACCCCTAGGTCACGTGACCCCCCCGAGGTCACGTGACACCCTTAGGTCACGTGGCCCCCTGAAGTCACGTGACCCCCTTGAGGTCACGTGACCCCCTTGAGGTCACGTGACCCCCTTGAGGTCACGTGACCCCCTTAGGTCGCGACCCCTTAGGTCACGTGACCCCCTGAGGTCACCTGACCCCTTGAGGTCACGTGACCCCCTTGAGGTCACGTGACCTCAAGGAGTCACCTATCCCTCAGTACGCTTCCATCTTCCTCCTCAAGAGCTGCGCTCTAACCGGCGTTACAGGGAATTGTAAACGGCTTTCATTTTTTTTTGTTGTGGTTTTGGGCACAAGTACGCCCTATTAAACGTTTCGTTTGTTTCAGTTTTC